TATCTATCTATCTATCTATCTATCTATCTATCTATCTATCTATCTATCTATCTATCTATCTATCTATCTATCTATCTGTCTGTCTATCTGTCTGTCTGTCTGTCTGTCTGTCTGTCTGTCTGTCTGTCTGTCTGTCCGACCATCCATCCATTCATATATATATGTGTGTGTGTGTATATGTTAGAATTGTAAATATACAGTCATATGTTTATATTACTATTTTTATGTATTTATAGTCTTTTAAAGGCTGCACTTTAAAAAAATGAAATTGTCTAAAGCTGTTTTAAACGAAAATTTATTTTTGTTTACACTTAGGTATACAAAATGACTAAATAAATTTGTCTAAATCTAAGTAAGTTACATGCTTATAGGCTAAGAGTAAGCAAATCCATTTGAACAAACACAATAGAGTGACATAAAAAACACACACTAACTGTTTAAATGTTATAGACATCTATCAACACAAAGTTTTTAGGCCTCTGAGCATGTTAAACGAGATCAGATGCACAGTATTTGTTATGCGCTTTTAATTTTATTTCTTATTTCCTACAGCCTCTGAACGTTACATTAAGAATTGCTAAGCCACGCCCCCTTTCAGCTCATTGCGTTGAGCTTCTTCAGGTGCGTTATATCTTCACGGGGAAATTAATGCAGACAGAAGTAAGTTAACGTTTAAACTTTATTCAGAAATAATTATAAGCTTTCTAATAAGATAGAACAAGGAGGTAAACAAAACCAAAAGCAGTAAAAGACGACAATACAAGTCAGTCATTTATTTTTCTTTAATTAGCAACACCTGTGTCATTCAGTTTAGTTTTTAAACAAATCCACTAATTCCTTGTCCCTGGTTTAGACTTTTGAACTAAGTTTTTAAATTAATAATCTTAAATACGAGGTAGTATATCTAAACATTAAATAGTTTCTAGTAATGAGCACTCTACTGAGTAAATTAGTGCTCTATATATAGCAAGTACAGTTTGCACAGAATTTTGTTTGGCTTAAAGCTGTATATTTTGTTACTCTAAAGTTTACAAGTAATGTGAAGAATACTCACCTTGATAATCAAGTAAGCCACTTTAAATACTTCCAAAATTATGATTGCTTGGCTTTGCAGTGCTGGTAAAAATGTTTATACACATAAAAAATGGGTACCGGTAGATATTCCAAGAACAGTCCAAATATTGTTTTTCTTCAGTCAGAACTATAAATACAAGCCCCACTTATAAATCCAAACAAAAGATGTTGATTCTAAACTGATTCTGATAGATCTGGCAAAATATGTGATATATTTTTATCATCAAAAGTGTTACAGTTCATTCAGGATGGCTGGTTTCCTGGTACACACATGGCTTTCTCAAAGCCTAAGGTCTTTCTTTAGTCTTAATGTTGAGAAGCTTTAGGCATTGAAAACTAATGTTTGATGTGCTGCCTGCAACAAATCCATATGTATTTTTTTGACATTCAGATATGTTTAGCGTCAATTTCCAGTTATAGTTTGTCAAAAAAACATGCAACAATTATACAAGGTAATCCAACAACACCACATGTTTTACGAGATTCCAGTTCAGATGGATAAGATTGTTGAATTAAGAGACCTTTGACCTGCGGGACCTTTTGCGCTAACCCGTGTTACAGTATTACACACAAAGTAAGCATAAGATGGAAAACTGAGTGTAGCATGAAATGTGGAATTCATGTGCAGCTGAAGAGTGAGCCCATGACACTTTTTTATGTTAATGGAATAAAATATTTGGTCCAAGTTTAGCATTCTAGCTGCTTCATTTGATGATAAGCGGTAGAATTTGGAAGAACTTTATGCAATGCAATGAAATAACTAAACGATAGGAGCTGGAAGGTTGGTCACTGGAGGGGAACAAGTTTGATTTTTAATGATTTTAAACAATCATCAAAATAATTTTTGTTATAGATAATGCAGATCATAGTTACGGTTTTGCATATGGCTTTACCTTAACTAGAGCTGCAACTGATTATTTTGCAATTCAATTAATCTGTCAATTATTTTTCCTTAAAGAACATTCTTATAAAATTAAACCAGGTAAATCTAAAACTTTTCCACTTGAGGAGTTCTGGATACAGCATATTGAGAGACCACATTTTTGTTTTTTTAATCTTAAATGGAAAAAAGTGTATATATATATATATATATTTTTTTTACAATTTTGGTATAATTACTGCTCTAAATGTGTCTCTCTGACAATAAAAAGCATATTTTACATTCTCTGTATTCCGGTTAATGATTAATCTATTACTAAATTAGTTTAAGATTATTTAAATAATTGATAAATCTGATTAATTGTTTCAGTCCTAACCTTAACCCTATTAACAATTTGTGAAAAATGAAACAGGAAACCAAAAAATTTTATTTAACTCTCCAAATTCTTCCAAAATTAACCAATAAACATCTCATCTGTTCCCTTAAGCTTTTTTGATGGATACAAAAATCAGGTGGTTTAATTTACTAAAAGACATTAAGTAAACATTAGTGATGTTGTATGATTATATTATAGCTTGTATGCATAGTTTTGAATACCATATAATTGCCAATAGTGTATGTAACCTTTTTAGATAAAGAAATAACTGTTCTTTTATTGTAAATCGTACTGTTTGTATTCCAAACAGGTTCAGAGGGTATCACATGTCCATATACCAGCATAAAGAATAAGACCAGACATACGTACAATAAAGGTAAGTTTATATTTAAAAATTTAATTTTCTAATGCATCCTATTGTTTTTACCCTCTGTCCTCAAGAGGGCAGCATTTCACTGCAAAACAACATTTTTGGACTCAATTCATTGAAGTTTGCCATGATAAAAGGTGGCAGCAGGGTATTGTTGGAGCAGCAGTCAACAGGTACCCGTGGCATCTAGACAGGGTGATGGATGTTTCACTTCAGCGTGCCATGACAGCAGCTTATGTTTGCGTCTTAGTGAATGTCAGCAAGGATGATATTTAAAATAGTGGCAGGAGAGAGTTGCAGAGTGTGATTACCCACTTTCCAGCAGCTCTACCTTCTAACTGACCTTCCTCACGTCTTTTGACTCTGTCACTGCTTTCTACATGAACCGACAGGATGTTGTGCTGTCACTGTTTCACCTGTTTGATGGACAAACCATTTAGAAATGGATAGGTAGTCTTTACATTGTCATATTGGACTCACAGATCCCCCTGGAGTTCTTGTTTGCAGTCAATATGATAGTTTTCAACTTTTTGGAGATGTCTATTTTTTTTTTTTATTGTATTTCCATGAAGCTGAAGTCTGTTTTGGGGTCAAAAGGTGTTGAAGGACACATGACTGTCATAGAATCTTTGTTCAGGACATGGTAATGTAGCACAGACTAACTGGAAAGGAAGCAAGCAGTTATTATGTGCTTTCATTCTGCTTTTGTTTCCTTGGATAGTGGCTGGCTACAGATAAGCCTCGGAGCCCGGGGGCTCTGAAATCAATAATGGATGTAATTGGTGAGCTAGAAGTGAGGATAATTGAAGGTAATTGTGAAACCATCACGTGCCTCGAGTCAGGTCAAGATAACTGTAAAAAAAAGAAGAAATGGAAGGTGGTGGGAATGGGAAATGTTCACATTTATATGTCGATATCTCTTGTGTATTCCATTACATAGGAAGGTGGAAGACTCGTTACAGACAGTGATTTCAAGAGAAAAGATGGAACACAAAGCAAAGTCTGTTTTAAAATATAAAACATGGACTTAAACATATATTCTATTGGCAGTAATGTAAGCTTACTGATATAGAGCTTTTCTCTCCCCTATGTTTCTAATACATCTATCATTGAAAACAATGTAGTATCTTACACAGCTATGAATATATTACATTTTTTTGCCATTTTAGAGTGTTATAGGAATCTAGTGTGAATGATTAACACTAAATGGTGCACAATTCTAAAGCAAAATACCACATTGTTGTTCATTTTTTTTGTCTTTATTCTCTTTTAACCAAAATCTTAAAGTTGTAACAAACCTTTTTTATTCAAAGTCTCTAGTTTGTAGAACCTCCTCTGACTGAAACAAATCTTGAACAGCTTTAGGGAATGTGCCCACCAATTTTTATACTGGTTTCCATTTAGGGATATCAGAGTGAAAAGTCCTTAATTTAAATAAAAAAAACATTTTAAATTTCTTTTTTAAAAGTTTCAAGTAGGGCTGCAACTAACGATTATTTTGCAAACTGATTATTTTTTCCTTTAAACAATTAATAATTGGATAGCCAAAAGGTCCTTAAAAATGACTTTTTACAAAATAAAACCAGGTGAAACTAAAACTTTTCCACAGTTCTGGATAGATTTTTTTTTTATTTTAAATGCAAAATGTTTATATATATATATTTTTTTTAAATTATTTTGCTCTTAGTGGAGTTTCTAAACTCCAGTTAACGATTAAGCAATTACTAAATTAGTGGACAATTATTTTAATAATCAATAAATCACAGTTAATCCTATTGTTTCAGCCCTAGTTTCAAGAGCCTGTAGCATTTTTTTCCTACTCCACAACTATTTTATGGTTTATGTAGGTCTAGCAAATAAAATATATTAT